TAACTACAGTAGCATTCCTACTCCATTGTACTGATTTCTGATGTAAATTATCGCAGTGTTGTGGGCGGCTTTGGTCTTTGTGGTATCCCGGAGAACAGTATCCAGGCGCTGGTCAAGCAGGGAGCCAAGGACTTGACGTGTGTGTCCAACAATGCTGGAGTGGACGACTTTGGACTGGGTTTGCTGTTACAAACTCGTCAGGTGGGGGCACACAAGGCTGTACTTGCGTATGTGTCTTGCAGTCGCTGACTCTTCTTTTCTGCAGATCAAGCGTATGATCTCGTCCTATGTCGGGGAGAATGCGCTTTTTGAGAAGCTTTATCTCACTGGAGAGCTGGAGGTGGAGCTCACACCGCAAGGAACACTGGCAGAGCGTATCCGTGCTGGAGGGTCCGGTATTCCAGCCTTCTACACGCCCACTGCGTTTGGAACTATCCTTCAGGTACGATATCCACGTGTTGGCTTTTGTCTTGGTCTAACTTGTGATCTTCTTGATAGGAAGGAGGGTTTGCCATTAAACTCAAGCCTGATGGGTCCATTGACATCCCCAGCGCACCACGTGAAGTCCGCCAGTTCAGTGGCCGCAAATACGTCATGGAAGAGGGGATCACTGGAGATTTCGCCCTTGTTAAGGCTTGGAAGGGAGACACCGACGGCAACTTGGTGTTCCGTGGCACGGCTCGCAACTTCAACGTGGATGCAGCCAAGGCTGGGCAGATCACGATCGCCGAAGTGGAGGAACTGGTGCAACCTGGAGAGATTCACCCAGGTAACCTCCTGTTGGAAAGAGAGACGTGCTTTTTATCGTATCGTCACTAACAATTGGCCTATTGCTGTCGATAGACGAGGTTCACTTGCCGAGTATCTACGTGCAGCGCATTTTCAAGGCCGAAAAGACTGAGAAACGCATCGAGAGACTCACTCTTGCCAATGCCAAGGTTAGCAACTTGAGTGTGTCTGACGTCATCCACTCAGTGCTAATACTACTCCTCTTTTGTTCTGACTGATAGAAATCACAACACAAAATCTCCCCGGATCGCGAGCGCATTATTCGGCGTGCGGCCAAGGAGCTTAAGGATGGAATGTATGTGAATCTAGGCATCGGGTTGCCAACGTTGGCGTCCAACTACGTCCCAGACGGAGTAAAAGTTGTCTTGCAAAGCGAAAACGGACTGCTGGGCATGGGTCCGTACCCGAACGAGGGCGAACAAGACCCGGATCTGATCAATGCCGGCAAGGAAACGGTGACTTTTCTGCCTGGTTCATCGACATTCTCCTCGTCCGAATCGTTCGCCATGATCCGCGGTGGTCACGTGCACTTGACGATTCTCGGTGCTCTGCAGGTCGCGGAGAACGGAGATCTGGCGAACTGGATTATCCCAGGCAAGATGGTCAAGGGAATGGGCGGCGCGATGGATCTCGTGGGCAGCGGCAACCGTGTCGTGGTCACGATGGAGCACAACGCCAAGGCAGGAGCGAAAAAAATCCTTAAGCGCTGTTCGCTCCCGCTTACGGGCAAGAGTGTGGTAAACACCATAATCACAGAACTGGGTGTGTTCGACGTGGTGCCAGGCAAGGGGCTCGTGTTGGTGGAGATCGCACCCACGACCACGGTGGACGACATTCGTGAGCGTACGGAGGCATCGTTCACGGTTGCGCATGATCTCAAGACGATGGATTGAGGGGGCAATTGAAACCTACTAAACTAGGCTAATGAGAGTGTACCGGTATCTACAATCCGATTTGTTTTTCTTCGAAACCCAAAACCTATGAAAGTTTTGGTAGTGGTCTTATTGTGGTTAAAACCAGTAGCCCTAAGTTTTTTTTTAAACGTACCGGTGATCGACTTTGGCGCTGCAGTTTTCTTAAAAAAAGATAATAAAAATAGTATTTGTAATGGATAGGCGAATAATAATATCTAACCTGCATACATACGTACTTTCACCCA